AGAGAGTCATTCTTGCAAATGGCCAATTTTGCACAAACAAGTTTTTGCAAAAAGGACAGGTATATATATATATATTTATATTTATTTATATACGTATAGATACGAAAATAAAGTATATATGTACAACCAAATCGTCTCATGGGAGAGGTTTGCGCTCCCGTTTCGATTCCGGAATTGATTCCGCATGATTTCCTTCGTCAATGTATGCAACAACGGGAGCGAATCTCCGGCGCCAATAGATTCGCCACGTAAAAACGACAACGCGATTTTGCAAGTCCTAGAGGAGGAAGTTACTCGCGGCAGTGCCCGCTACTGGCCGCTCGGGTACCGAGTGTATCATAGAGATATTTAGATAAGAGATTGGCAATCGTGTAGACAACTTTTGATCGTGTGTGCGATCCGCCATATTCGGGACGGTGCTTATCAATAGAATACAGATTTCCAAAGACGTCCCTACATCTCGAGAACGTTCCCGGGACACGTTTCGCGAATAAAGTGTGGGGGCAAGATAGAATGAGGCAGATGCGTAAGATAGAATGAGATGCATGGATGTCTCATTATCTAATGCACAATTTATCTCACTCTGTCTCGAACGTTGTCCCGAATATGGCGAACGGTGGTCAATCTCTTACTTGAGAATCTCTGGTATGTGATCGATGTACATGTTCGTGTATGTGTTTTGTGTATGGGATTTTCTAGGGAACAATAAATAAAATCTATCTATCTTCTCATTTACCTAGCGCGAGACACGCCGTGTCGCTTTGATTTGCTGGTCGATCCTCTCGTCTATCTGTACCAAACGCCCGACCGTTTTCTCATCCCTTCAGCCTTCGAGCTCTCGAGGGTGATCCCTCTTCTTAAATTAAGATTGCATTTCCATCTAGCTGCCGTCGTCGCGACGTGACACACGTTGCTCTCCTTCCCTTCCCTCGGCAAAGTGTGCACCGGCTCTGTGTCCACCATCTCACATTTACAAAACTAATCGCCGTTAATCGCGTCGCGTCGGGCGCGCGTTGGTAGAACTTAGTCACGCTATAGTTACGCATTTACACCGAAAGGTACTATGTATGTTTATTATATACAGCGGTAGTAATTGGTTACTGGTTAAATAGTGGCGTTATTCGCTAACGTTACTTTATCACAACGATGATGAAATTAGCCCTTCGGGACCGGGGACGTCGCACCTCAGTCCATTCTCCTAATGCTTCTGTCCTTCGTCCTCGCTCCCTCTCTTTCACCCCTGATTATGTTAAGTTAACCCCCCGACGATCGGACAGACGAGACAATATATACGATCGCATATCGCGAATTCATCGTCCGCTGTGTGCTCCATCGTCGGTATCTCGGCATCGCGCTCGTGGAAGAAATGATCGCACGCCACGCGAACGTGGAGATCTTCAAAGTCAGGTCGCAGTTTAGTCGACCAGTCAAATCCTGAACTTTTACGCCAGCCAGTGCTTACAATGCGACTCTTCATATAACAATACGAAAGAGATATACTCATATATTATGGACATATCGCGCGCTGTATCGTGCGCTCGCTCTATAATGAAGAACTTACTGCAATAATGGGCTAACCCACATTTTGTAAAGACAGAGAAAATAAACTCCAAAATTAAAGTCACGGGAAATAGTAAGCTAACGCATGTTTTTACAAAACATGGGTTAGCTCATTATTGAAGTAAGCCCTCCGGTTTAAACATCACGTCGATCAAAAGTCGAAAAAATCTTTTTCTCAAAAATTCAAGTTCTCATATCGAGTAAACTTCATGAGCGGAACCAATTTAATATTTGCTGCTCTTTCAATGAAAATAAATAATTTTAGTATACCTTTTATTTGTTTCTAAAAGTAAAGGAAAGCTAATAAAATGTAGATGTAGAAATAAGAGATCTTTGTGTAGAATCATAAAATTTAAATACATTAAATAAATGTATCGTGCATAAACGATAAATAAATAAATTTTGTTTTTCCCTCAAACAATGATAATATTAGTAAAATATTTAAGAGACTCAATTTTATAATCTCAAACTACAAATCTATTTAATTTATTTAATTTTGTGCTCAGAAAGCGAGGAAGAGTTTGAATGTGTTGTGCGATATAATCCGCGTATCGCTACAAAAAAAAAATACACGTTTCAACTAAACATAAAAATTTTATGCAACACCTATAGTCGTTTATCCTTTTTACAAAATTCGATTTATCATATGTCTTGTAAATTTCTCTTGATTGCTTGAAATTATCTTTGTTACTTTGTTGTTTAAAATTTGACATCACGTTACCCAGAATTTTGCACAGTATTAGTTCGATTAATCGAGCGAAATAAACTGGCAACGATTCAGCGCGTGTCTTTTACCGTCGTTTCTGACAACGCACGAAATCGAGATTTTCAAATTGACTAGATTAGCCCAACAAACTCGCGTGTTGCGTTCTGACGTATAAATCTGAGAAATGGGAAGAAGGCTGGCAGGCAGATATTACCGCATTGGAACTGGCTCGTTCACTCCATGGGCAGGCGTTGATCAACGAGACCGCTTTCCACGTCGGTCACGTTGATGGTCGATCATTCCGCACGCACTCCGCTCGATATTGCACGTTTTTTTACGCATATTTCAATGGAACGTTTTAGAGGGCAACGAAACGTGCCCTGTTCGTGGGGAAGGGACCGCTTTCTAGGTCTCTGCCGAGATCCTAATTAGAAACGAGATCGTCGGTGACCGATCGGCCGAATCGTGTCGCCGAGTTAGGATTTTGGCATCACAGTAAGGGATAATAATCGTGTCCGCGGCCGCAGAACGAGATCGGTCACGAGCCGCTGCTGGTGGACAGGATCGGCAGGTCGCGATGGGCCTGGGGATCCCTCGAGTGCGCATCTCGTACGGCTCGGGAGCCGAAGACGCGCTCGCAACCGGGCACAGTGCATCTAGCCTCCTCTTTGCGATCGTCCGAGCCTGGTGAAGATACAGGCGAACCCGAAATAGACGCGTGCCTGTTGCCCTGCTCCTGGGTCAGCCGCGTCAAGTGATTCAGATGCTGATGAGTGAGGCCGTTTAGGCCAGCCAAGTGAGACGCGAACGAGGTCAGACCCGGGAACGTGGCGCCGAGATGCGGCGGCAGCAGAAGCGGATGCGGCGGCGGTATCCGAGCCGCTAGATCGACCGCGGACGGCAGTCCAGGTGCTAAGGGGTACGCGCCCAATGCGCCGATACTAGCGTCCGCATAGAGCCGTGCCAGGAACTCGTTGTGTAGCAGTGGGTTCATTTGCGGGTCGTCGACACGCGGCGATAGGCTCGGTGGCAGGCTGGAGGAGAGCGGCGGGCTCGACGAGGTTGACAGCAATTTCCGGTGCAGATTGAGATTCGCCGAGTGGCGATCACGAGATCGTTTCGAGGGAAAAGCCGCATTACAGCCGTCCACGCTGCAGCGGTGCATCAGTTTGAGGTGGACGTTCTGATAGTGGGTCTTGACACCGAAATGATTCTGAAAGACCTTGCCGCAGGCGGTGCAACGGCGCGGATTCTCACGGTCGAGCGGCACTTCCTGGGTGCTGACGAAGCCGCCGTTCTCGTAACGCGCGTACGTGATCAGGCTATTGTCCGTATCCATGGCCACTGTGGAGGGTGAAGCGCTGGAAGAACGAGAGCCACGTGAGGAGTTGTCCATGGTGATCTCCTGGTGGGTCTCCGTGAGGCTGATAGGGCTGGTAGAGCCGCGGCCAGACCTCGAAGCCACCCGCTGCGGCATCGCGCATCGACCCTGCGACAAGGACTCGAGTTGACGCAAAGTGTTGGTCGAGGAGTCGTGGGAGAGGTCGTCGGCTGTCGTTGGACGGCTGTCGACCGAGCTCGGGGCACGGGGGGGATCATCGGGACGCTCACCTTCTTGATTGCGCAGCGCGTCGTCCATCTCCTCCTCCTCATCCTCCTCCTCCTCCTCGACCTCCTCCATGGGCTCATCATCGTCGTCCTCCTCGTCCTCCTGGTGCTCCTCGTTGTTCGTCGGCCTTCCTTCCTCCTGCGTCACCTCGGCGGGTTCTTTCTTCGCGATCGTCTCCTCTTTCACCCTTGTTGACGTTTCCTCGCTTTCCGTGCTCAATCGTCGATCTTTCTGCTCCGACGATATCGCGTCGGGATCCTTCCCCGTTGCTGTCGTCGTTGTCGTCGTTGTCGTGGTTGCCCCGCTCGATGTCGTGCTCGACGACGACGGCGGCGCGTTGTTGTCGGTCTTTGGTTCTGGAGTGATCTGTCGTTTCGGCGACTTGACCGAGCTCGCCCTCGAGCTCAAATCACGCGGCTCGTCCTGAGGTAGATCCTCCGCGTTGTCTTGAGAGGAAAAAGTATCGCGTCGATTAGTCGTAGCTACCTCACGCTCTCTATTGCCGGTGTCCGGAGAGCGCGAGTCTGATTCGCGATCATGAAAGATGCTTTTTTGGTTCCTCGGCGAGCTGGGAAGTATCTTTCGCTCCTCCGCCTCAAGCCTGGACATCGACATGTCTTCCGGCTGATTCTGAAATTCTGCTATCGGCGCAATGCCGTCCGACAGACACCGCCGCTGTTGAATTCGCTGCTCCTCGTCGTTGGAGGAGTCGCCGTCGGTAGACGAGGAATGCACCTCCGCCGGCACAGCGCATCTCGTGGGATGCTGGGATTTTCTTTTGCGCACGCCTCGGCTGTGGAAGGAACTCGAGTTGAGCGAATGCCGATTCACGGAGAAAGGTTGCTGGTCAACTGTGCCCAGCATCGAATCGTTATCCTCGTTGCTGTCGGGATCGTTGCTGGCAAGGTCTTCGTCGGCGGTGTCGCCAAAGTAGAGCTTCGGCCGTTTCGCCAGACTAAAATCAGCCGGCTGCTCGTCATCTTCGTTAGCACGCAACGGTTGTAACCTCGATGGCAGATTACTGCTTTCGTCCTCCGCGACCACGACGATACCACCATCGTCATCGTCGTCGTCCTCCTCGCCTTCCGGTATCATGGATGACGCCTGGGTGGACGGCGAGACCGCGCTAATGGATGCGCCACCACCGGAACCATACGAACCTCGCGCCGTCGTTGTAGTCGTGGTCGCCCCGACGCTCGACATCGGCACTGGCATCGTCGTCGAGGCCGTGGTCGTTGACAGACCCGTGCTCGCCATTCTTTGCTGCAGCGCAGCCTCGTCGTAGCCAGGTCTGCCCTGACCCGCTTGCGTGGACGACAGATCCAGATGCTTGAAGTCCAGCGCGCACAGCGACGCCGGCGAACGGAGGTCTGGCGGTGGCGTGAGCAGTGGAAACGAGCCGAACGGTAGATGATTCAGTCCAGTAGCGGGAACCGGGAGTCCAACCTGCGGTGGTAACACCAGGGCATGCGCCATGGACGAGCGGCCGTCGTGCGGAGAGATTTTGCGGCGCAGGTGCGGTGAGTGCAGTTTCGGATTTGGATTCGCGCTGTGTCGGTTGCGCGATCTACGCGAACTGAACATCATGCTGCAACCCTTGACGGTGCACTGGTGCATCTCGCGTAGGTGCACCGCGCTGAAATGGATCTTCAGGGCGCCCTTATCGCAGAAGGTCTTCAAGCAGACGTTGCACTGCACGCGCTTCTTGCCGGTGGTGGGATTGATGAAAGGTGTACCAAGATTCGGCGGCATGTTCGCGGCGGCGGCGCCCCATTGGCTGCCCGGTCGCTTACCCGGAGAGTGCGGCTTCCTGCCGGGTATGCCGGGTGGCCTGCCCAACGGCGTCGCCTGGAGCGACAACGGCGGTGGATGTCGTTGCTCGCAGGAAATCACGTGCTTCGACATAGCGGAGTCCCGTCTGCTAAGATTCAACGCGCTGTCGGAGTTTTCCTCATCGTCCTCGTCCTCCTCCGAGCCGAACTCACTGCTCTTCTCACCGCCGCTGTGCACGTCCGCGGGCACGGTGAGTCCACCGATGCAACCGGGTGATTTACCCATCGGTGGCGGCGGAAAGTGCGTTGGGAAGCTCGGTGGTAGCGCTCCGGAGGAGACCGCGACCGAGAGCGGATGACCGAAGGTTAACGCCGAGGAAGAGATCGGTGCGACCGGCATATGCGGCCTTTGCAGCTGCGACGTCGCGGATGGGTGATGAGGTGGACTGTGGGGACTCTGCGGATTCCTCATTGAGGACTTGCGATTTTGCAGGAGCTGCTCCGCGGACGGTGGCGGCGGCGGTAAAGGCGGGAATGCCGGCAATCCGAGAGTACCCAGCTTTCGGAAGTCGAACGGCTGCATGCTCTGCAGCCGATTCAACGGCGACACCGTTAGATGAGAGTCTAAGGAACGCGGTGGCGAGTTCGCTCTGCTAACACCGCCGGTAGGATTCGTCGACGAGGAGTAGTGCTTCTGTGCCGTCGGCGACATCGAGGGATGCGAGATCGACGACGACGATGGCGGTGGCGGCGGCGGGGGCGGTGGCAGCGGATGCGGCAGCCGAGAACCCGGTGGCGGTAGGCCGCAGTGAAGCATATGCAACGGGGGTGGTAGATGTGCTAGTGGCATCGTCGGTGGCGAAGGTCGTCTGCTTGGTGACATAGCATCCGTACCCGGCGTTCCGGCGGCCAGCAGCAACTGCTGCACGAACGGACGCGTCTCGGCGAACCTGAGGAACTGCTGTAGGACCAGCGGTTCCTCCTCAGCCGAGCAGATACTCCATCGGTCCAGCACCGGGCCGTTCTGCGAGTCCTACGAACAGAAGAAGAGAAGAATTGTCTTTTGGAACTGTCACGAAGGAATCGTTCACGCGACGAAATATTCAAATCGCGAATACGCGATAACTGATTTATTTAAGAATACTATCGTTCGTCAAAATTATATACCGACTTCTATAAATATCGCATTTCTAGGAAGATGACTGAAATCAATTAGTTGTTGCAATGAATTTTTAAAACAAATAGATAAGATGCGCTAAATGCGGTCGAGGCTGAATCTTGCTGCCTATATATATAATTTGGCTAATAATTTCTACGTAAGTTTAAACACAGCTTTCAATTCAATAAACTGCGCGCCCCGATTGCTTTCGGACTTGAAAACGTAATCATACAAACTACAGCTGAAATAATAATATTGCGAATTAAATTGGTTCTTAACTTAATGCACCGCGCTATTTAAAACACATTGTAAAGGACACATTAAAAATTTATTGCGATAGAAGAAATTTTTAACTTCTGAACGAAATTTAATATAATATATTCGATAGCGTGGAAACAAAGGACAAAGAATTTTTCCGAGGCGGTTTCCTAAGATATTCTTCGCGGCGTTCTTATACCGCCGGTACACACGATTACACTGTTTAGCCTATGCGGGAAATTACGTAAATGCGCAAATCACGCGGTAAAGAACACGCGATATCGTCGATCAATTCGCACAGCCGCCGACGGTGAACGAGGGAGGGGGGGAGGAACGTTTATTCTTATTCGACCGTAATTACACGTCGCGATAAAAAAAAAAGCTTCCCATATTGTCAACCACAGAAGGTCACGCGTCCCCGCTTGTGTTCCGTTACTTTTGTGAAATGGAATACGCAAAAAATGGCTGATAAATAAAAAGGTTTGATTGATGACGCTTAATGTAGCGGGTAATTAGTTCTGCTTCGCCTGTTAGCCAAGCGAGATTGCACTTAAACGCGTTAAGGATTTAACCTTGCATCCCGACGGATATGTATACGTACTCTCGATCTGTCTTCCTCTCTCGCGTACCTACTTTATTAACGATCCGTTTTTTTTTGCGGATCGAGTTTTAGCGATTTGTCATTTGTGCTCCGCTGAAAATCCCAGCGACATGAATAATCCCGCGGTAAATTCCAGTCACAATTCTCGGAATCAATTTGTTTCTCGCTGGAAACTAAAGGTAAAGCGTTAAAATAATGCTCAGAAAAGTAGGTCACAGTTAAACGATAATCTGTCAAAAGTTACTATTTAATATTTAATAAGAAATTAAAGCGGCCCTAGACAATATCATTGTATACGGTATAAAATATATTATGCAATATTATTGATCGTCTGGAGGATCTATATTGAGCTGCCAGACTGTTCATTTTAAATTGTTTACATCAATGATATTACAGAAAATAATTACACAGTAATATTCAAGCGTCTAGAGGCGTCCTTTTAATTCTTTCAATATTGTCGTTTTCACTGTGCAATAATATTAATCTTTTAGAGATACGCGCGCGCGTATAAAGTTCTTCGCGATAAATGAATGTGTCACTTTCGTCCATTGGTTCGTTTTCCTTTTGTTTCCACTGGATAAGCGTTTCCCTGTGAAAATCCCGGATGTTTCTCGTCTCTTCGATCGCAACCTCGCTTCGCGATCGTGTTACTTGACAAAGGTTAAGCTCTCCGTCTCGGCCTCTCTCGCTGAGATACGCATCCTGCCGAGAGGAACATTAAATCTGGCGATACGCTTTTGACGTTCCACACGGACGTCACGTATCGCACTCATGTGGAGTCACGGCTTCTTATAAATTCAGGGTGGCCGTGTATATAGAGCACAAGTTTGTCTCACTCTCTTTCCGTCTCTCTCTCTCTCTCGCTCTTCTCGCCTCGCAGCTTGTATATTTACACATTCCAACGGAGCTCGACGTAACGCAGGACGCCCAGCGCCGCGACGCTTTTCGCGCTCGCGTCCCGTTGTATATTTCTTCAAGCACGCGCACGCGCCGCCGTGTATATATCGCACGCACACGACCGGGAACGAGACACGCACTCGTCGGCGGTCACACGGCAGTGTGGTCGCCGCCACTCCGAATTCGATCGCGGGAACGACGTCGTTATTTTTCGCCCCGGGCCAACCGCAAAAATAAAGAATGTCAGGCGAATTGTCGGCGATCGCGCACCGGCAGATATAATAGGCGCTGCCACAAAGTTTTTGTTCTTCCCGAGAGAATCGATTCGGCGCTGTCATGGCATTCGACTCAATCTCGGAACTGTTTATAAAATATTCTTCTTCTTCTTTCTCTTTTGTAAGATATATAGTGTCTAAGAAACGACACAGTTTTGTACATTTTGAAATTCTCATTGATTTAGTAAAATTAGAAAAATGAAATGTACGGGTTCAAATTGATCGAAGAATCCGAGAAGATGAGGCAGTATTGAGAGGAAATTGTTTGGTATTTATCACTGGTAATATTGCATGGTAAAATGATTATGGTTAGAAGCTCCTTTTTTATAATTGTTACTGCTCTGATGTTAATAATAATAATTATTATAGTTATACAGTTTACACAAAAATATATAATTATTATTACTAACGTTATAACAGTAATAAGTATTAAAAAAAAAGCTTCCAGCCATATAAACATTTTACTACGTAATTATAATCACAAATATCAAACACTTTTCCCTCAGTGCAGCAGTATCGAATAGTTATCGAATAACTATCGATAATAAATGAGAAGATATTTGTAGAATATTCCAACATTTTAGATAGAAAAGAACGTCGTGTTTAACAAATGCGATTAACAAATAATTCGTATTTCGCTGGATCGCGTTCGTGTGAACGAGAGATGCTTAAAAAAAAAAAAACGAATTTAATTTAAACGAGAGACACGCATGCATGTACAATATATTTTGAGGTATAAGCGAAATTATTTTTCTATAAAAGTATTAAACGGTGCTCACGCGACGCAAACGGTGGACGGTATTGAAACAACACACAGGCGAAGATAATTGAAAGCATATGGATGGAGAGACAATGAATAATGCTCGTAACGTACCGCTACGTTACAAAGTGTAATTTTCTGATTTTTTATTCTCGCTGATGGTAATTCAAACCTCACGTGGCGGCGACAGCTGTGACCGTCGCGTATTATTTTCCCTTAGGAGATCGCATAGATTATCGTCTGATGAGGCGCGAGTAATGTCACACCGTTTCTCACTGTGCGCGACGACGTTTTTCCCGCGTTACTCTCCGCGATGAGTACGCTCTCTCTCTCTCTCTCTCTCTCTCCTCTCGTCTCGTCTCTTCGCGTAATTTAAACATTTTTACGTACATTGTGATACCGCGTACGGGGATTCGTCACGCTGTTCTTTCGCACGCATTATCCATTCTCTTCTCTCTCGATCACGTCGAATCGGGCGACAAAATCCTGCATCGCAACGGTATCTCGCTCTATTGAAAGTTACGTAAATTGCCAGTGCTAATTGAACGCATACAAGATGCAGAATTCCACAATTTCATTCCGTTATCATAATTTCGTTGTGGCCCGCAAGAAACTTTTTACTCGTCAACCTTGAAAGTTCTCTTGAAAAGAAGATGTCTTCGTGCCGCGAAGAGTTGAGGTCTTTGGTTCTGCAACTATCGCGATGGACAAAATTTAAATTTGAAATTTTATAACCGTCTCAATTCTTGCCTGTAAATTCGTCGTTTTTTTCTTCGTTCACGCGAGAGAACAAACGATTTTGTTTGAGTATTAAAAAATTTAATTAGATATAGACCTGAACATAACATTTTGTTCGACTATCAAAATAATTTCGCAGAATGTTCAAACTGCTTGCTAGAATGTCAAAACATTTTGTAGCGCTGCTTGAGATTGTTACGTAAACATTCAGGTGGTTCAACCAAATTATTTTCAAATTCATCATAATACGGAGAAAGAAGAATGATTTTGCTCAAAGTAAACCGAAAAATTTAACTAGATACAGATTTGAAAAAAATTGTGTTGAATCAAAATAGGTACAAGACTTACTAAAGTATCAAAACTTTCTATAGCATTGCTCTCATCATGCTTGAGATTCCTACACAATTATTTTTGATGGCCCAACAAAACTTTTCAGATCAGCATCTAGCTGGAGCTTTTACATACACACTTCATTCTTTCTACATAATTATCACGTGTAGATCTCGGAATTGAAGAAAAGAGGCAGAGCGTATGTTAGACTCCGCGAGTCTTTACGTCAACAATTTTCTACTTTACGCGTCCATCATTTCCAGCTGCTGTCGATCTTCGAGAGGTGACCTCTCGAAGGCCGAGGATGCTTTTCCCATAGATCCGCTATTTCACGAAGGATTCGATGGTACCGCGCGTCGTCGTTTTGCCATGATCGCGCCGTACACACGTGCGTGACGTTTGGGGGGCGAAGCGGGGAGGACTGGAAAAAAAAGGGTTCTGCGAAGCGCTTAAACGCGGCTCTCTCTCTTTACGTGAAAGGACCCGGACGATCGTGTCTGAGAACGCAAGACTACCGTGCACCGTGAGACTCAAATTTTAATCCCGCACGCGAATGAGGCTCGTCGCTCCGACAACACTCGACCTTCCTTCCCATCCCTCCCGTCTCTCTCTCTCTCTCTCTCTCTCCCTCTCCCCTCGGTCACCTCCACCAAATTCCGCGGCGTGGAATTTCGCCGTTCCGTGTGCTCCCGCGTGTCCGATGGGACGCGAAATGAGTGTGGGCGAGGTCGGTAAATCGTGGCGAAAAAGGAGGTCTTACGATGAGAAAGATTAAAGAAATGGGAAATCTTCTTTTCTTACAGCCTACCTTCGGAATATACGCTTGAAGAATCTAATAATTACAACCGCTATATTTAATAGAATTATGTTAGAATTGGCAAAAAACTTCTCATAAATAATATTAATACTGAAATTACAAGAATTTGTCTCAACTCGTGGGAGTCTCTTTTTCAATAAAAATTTAACATTCGTCTTCAAATTAATCTGTAATTAAAAATTATCGCCTATAAGAGGC